AAGTTTCACAGAAGGTTCCACGAATCGATGACAAGCAAAAGTTCGCGACATCTGTGTGCACCGACATGCTAGCTTAGCTGTGCATTTACACACATATAAAGACATTAAGACCTGTGCCAGCAGCGTAGCCCACTAATTCCTACATTTTTTTTTACAGTGAGAGAAGCGCAGATAAGCTTAGCGTCTCACAAAAATACCTGAATGACGCACAGGTGCCATTGTGTATGAGGGCTGCGAGTATACCCCGGACACGAGAATGATCTTTGGTAAGCAGATTTGGCCGAGAATTATCCTTCGGACTCTCAACGGCTCTGTCGACTTCGAGAATTGCACAACAAAACAGTCTTGTATAACAATAAGTGCCGTGACGGACGGCGCTGACGCACGCCATGTTGAGAAGCGTGTGGGCTTATAAACAAACAATATTTCTCCTGAATTATAGGCCAAGAGGGAGCAAGCTATAGGTTGGGGCCTGCTCATGTTCTACATATTGGAATGCGTGTGTAGTTACAGGCGAGAAAGGCTTACATGAGACAACCCCTTGATCGATTCGAACAAAATTTCTTACATTCGACAAAGGCAGTTAGCATCATTGACTGGCTATTCTAATGCAATCTAAGGCAGCCACATTTTTTTTAAAGCAAGTCAACGAGGATTTCTAGCTGTCTCCCCTTGAAAAAGAAAACAAGCAAGAAATTTACAAGTTTACACATATGCACCAAGAAGGCACACGACAAATGTGTGAACCCTCTCCGTTAGAGAAATTAAGACAGAAAGAATCTGATAACCATATTTACAGTTATAACGTCAATTTATTACAACGTCACAACTTGTCGTGCTACAGTACAAGTCGTATACTTCGGTAAATGTCTACTAAATTCTTATATGGTTACGTATATTATTAGGTACTGTTCAAAGAATTATATTATTTTGTCGGCAGTCTTAGAAAGCTCTCAGTTTCGGAATATTGCAATTTTGAAGGATATTCAAAAAATTATAAACATTTTAAATAAGCAAGGAAGATGAGACGAATTTTTTTTTCGAGAAGAATTTCGGCGGTGCGAAGCGAACACGCAACTCGCTCTGTGTATTGCTCGCAAACAATTATCCTTTGCTGGTGCTATGCATTTACGCGCCTCTCCCTTGTCACGCAAGTTCGTGAATATTTTAACCCAGTTTCACTCCTATATTACCATTCGATTGGTGGTATCCTTACTTGATAGTTGTGATAGTTTCTGTCCCAGACATTCACTGCAGTGTTATTCCTTTTAAGTGACGTCCTAAAAATGGTCTTTTAGACGAATACAGAAAACTGCTTCACGACGCCCTGCTTGCCACCTATAAGATCCTTCGCCTAGAAGCATGCTTCGGATACTCGCCCCATTATAACCATCCTTCTGAAAAAAAAAAATCCTGAGCAGCTTCATTAAGATTGTGCGGTGCTTGACGATAAAATCGATTCCTTCTTTTGCGCACATCATAGTACGAGCCTCTAGCTAATTATTGGACCTACATAAATGGATAAATCTCACCCATTCTAAGACGAGACAAAGAGAAGTTGTAACCATGCATTCTCGTGTTAGCTTAAGTATCTCATCGCGACGTTAACCTTCGTGGCAAGCGCGGCAATACGCCAAACGTTGCCGTCTGCACGACACGCAAGGGCAGCCACGTCCCGCCATGCATGCCATGTGCTTGATCTGTCATTCTTCCTTCGTTGCGTCCGACGAATTTTGCGAAGAGTCAGGGAGCACGCGGCACTGTAGGTGGAGGTCTGCCAGCAAGTTACGCAGGACATGCTGTTGCTGTGGTTGGTGCTGTAGCTGGTGCTGTGGCTCCTGGTTCCCCTGACGGACGAGCTGGCAAAACTGACCCTCGTCGGCGCCATCGCTGCAGTGTCTCACTCCATCACACACCTGAACTGGACGAAGACACTGACCGTCCACGCACGGGAAGTCACCGTCGTCGACGCTGCAATCGCGAGGAGGAGAAGCAGAGGTTGTGCTGGTGACGTCAATTGCGGCGGTGTCCCCCGACGTCGTAGCCAATTTAGGCTTGGGCGTCCTACCATAAACGCACAACAATTTCGCCGATCGTTCGTGCTCAGGACAATCCTGCTCGTCAGAGCCATCCTGACAGTCGTTCTGTCCGTCGCAAATCCACTTAAGAGCTATGCAGCGTGTCTGGTCGTGGCAGGTGAAGAGGCACCGCGCATAGGGAGCAATAGGACACTGTCATTGATACTGCACCATTATTCGTCCTTGTTGTTGCCGCAGTCGTCCGTCTTGTCACACCACTGATTCATGTCGTAGCAGGCGCCGTTCCCACACTCTTCTCTCCAGCCCACAGAACAGTCTTCAGCTTCTGCTGCTGGCGAGAGAACAAGCGTACCCACCAAGAACGTGTATGCGATCATGGCTCGATTCATCATCTCTGACCGAGCTTCGCGATTTGTAGTGAGACAATTCCAAACTCGGTCCTTCGAGCACGCGTCTTCGAGGAGCTATGCAACGGATTCCGTGCACAAGTTTAGAGGTCGGATGCACGCTGCCAACACTGACGGGACGGCGAGATCGGGATTTTGCTCGTGAAACATAGGGGCCGTTCGTGCAGCAGATGCTTTTATACGCAGCCGTAGCACGGGGCACATGAGATACTTTGGTGAGACGCTGACGCAAGGTGAAATGCACGATGTGGCGCGACCGTCGTGGACCTCGGCGATTGGTCGCGAGAGTTTCGAGATGTAGTTCCGTAATGATAAAACTGGGTGACATATGATATTCTCTTCTTATTTTTCAAATAGCGCCAAACCAGCTTCTTATGGGAGATAGGGGGAGATAACAGTGAATAGGAAAGGACTAGGCCTTTGAATAGATCAAATGACCGGTGGTCTGCACCGCAACTAAGCCACGTGACTATAGAGAAAGTGATCAAAGTGCGCAAAAGACGCCACAAGAATTGTGTCAGAACGAGCAAGACAGCACCGTGTAGAAAGCAGCAGTAACGGAATTAAGACGATTTGGAACTGTTGGTCATGAATCTGAAACGTTATGTAGCGCAGGATCAAACCACATCAACAAAATAAAGCACGATGCGACATACGAGCGAGGGCTACCAAAAATTGTTATTGACGACCACACGTGTGTATACACTGTGCTCATCACCATCATACATGCGCGCACTGCTTTCAAGCAAGGAATGACTCTTTATTTGAAAGGTGCACAGGCTGAGTGCTGATACAGGCTGGCGTAGTGAGCTTGTCGCTACGTCTTCTGACAACGGTACACTTTGCAAGAGAGGTTTACCGACAGAATAACTGCAATGCATTTCCTACCAACCATCTCGTGCAGTTCTCTTTCCAATTTGCGCATGTTCGTCCGACCATTTATCTAGACACCGTGCCGTCAGCCCTGTCGTATATTGTTTTCCGCATGAAAGCAGAACGCTGTAAACTGCATGGGTAATGCAAGCAATAAATGAACCAGTGTGGCGATTTTCGCAGCCTCGTTGAACACGAGTGCTTGTTTAGCGTAGAGTTTCTGGGCCTCTGGGGTGTCAATAGAACAGAATGTTCACCATCGAATGACCTGCAATCGTTTTGATATTACCACATGCATGTGGACAATATTGTGGGACAACTTATGAATATATGAAATGTGTATACTTTTTGATGGGCGTTGGTTTGTGTGCCCTGTGAACGACTGTCTTGTCTTGGTTGTGCTGTGTGTTCTGTGTAATAGTTGCTGCGCTTCCTACCAATTGAGATCTATTCATGCCAACTAGTCCGATACAATTGTTTATCGACTATCTTGCATGCGCATTATTCACACGAATGATTCTGCAGTTGAACATTGTACATGCAAAGATTAGCCAGCCTGTAACGTACCCTGAGACTGGAAGCGAAGACTTGAATGCACTCGCGAGGACATTTCTCTATACTGCATTAAAAAAACATATAGCGATATTTTTCTTTTCAACTAATTAAATATACATTGAGACATACAGCAAGATCCGCTCATTACTGCGCGGTTCACAGTATCAAGTTTTTGAATTAAGATGACCATTTCAATTGGCATATGAACTACCAACGAACCACACTTGACAAGTTTCTTGACACTAAGATTGTTTTTAGAGCTGTCATAACCTGCTTAAGGGCCACAAAAGTAGGCATATAAATGAAAACCAATATCGATAGATCCTCGGTGTGTATGAAAGTGGTTGCCATTTTTTTTTTTTACGCTTTCTGCTAGAGGCATGTTTAAGTGAACCGCAGTGAGACAGTTGATAGGAAGAGTCACTCAGGCAAAAAAAAAAAAAAATGGTGGTCAGGCCTGCTAGGCCAACCGCGCCCGTGGCAACATCACCACTTAATAGCATAGACTATAGTTGCTCATCAAAAATCATACAACAGAATAGAATATATACGTATTCGAGTATTATATAGAACTCATACGCGTTGGGACGAACATTTTATTTCAGTAGAGCAAGGTATTGGTGCTAGCTTTGACAGAATGAGCTGATTGGCACACATATCACTTGCTTGTTGTAAACGGAAATTGTATAGCGTACTTCCATTGAAAGGAAATTGAGCGTTGCGTGAAAGGAAATTTTCTGGTCGAGCTTTCCGATTTGCATTAGGTAGTGCACTCCCTTCCACGAGAATACGACTTCAACGTGTTGTACAATTAAAGGCCCACGTGGCTTCGCATATCGGCCACGTTGCACACTGAGGAGCAATGGTAGACTCTATAGTTCTGGAATGATAAAATTGGGTTGAGTTGAATGCGATATGCAGCTCTCGAAGTACGACAAGGAGGCCTCTGCCAGCAGAGGGAATGAGATAAGGGGGAGACCAGAGGACGAACAAGTTGAACGGATCGAATGTTGGGTTGGATGCACTCCAACGGAAACACGTGACTAGGCGAAAGTAGTGAGGGTGCAGAAAAGATGAGTAAAAGGTTCCGTCAAAGTGGGCGAGACAGCAGCAGCAGGCGGAGCGTGCCAGTGACGGGTTCGTGCCGAGCTCAACGCTGCTCGGGGAGGGGCCTGCAGCCTCATTGGCCACGAGCACTGCAGATCGCGGGCAAGGTGCCACCAACCTTCCAGCGTATAGCAGAGATCTTGACCTGGCTAACAGCCAGCATTGCTGTTTCAACGCAAGCTGTCCACCGGGCTGGTTGATCAGGCTTACAGTGTGCACTGCGGCTCAAATACAGGCTTATTGCTTCGCCGTCCGGACCAGACCACCGTGCGCCACCTTCGCTTCAGCGCTGCACACAGAGACGCTGCACACCCATTCCGTGAGACTCCCTTTGTCCGCCTCAATCAGTGTCTTGTGTTCCGTTCGCCGTACACTGCGAGGTCTTTGCGAACTATTTTCCTTGGACTCACGTTCACTGTACTGCTCGTAAATTGGTCTAGTGGCTAAGGTACTCGGCCTCCGACCCGTAGGTCACGGGATCGAATCCCAGCAGTGGCGGCTGCATTTTTCGATGGAGGCGAGAATACTGTAGGCCCGTGTGCTCAGATTCGGGTGCACGTTAAAGAACCCCAGGTGATCGAAATTTCCGGAGCCCTCCACTACGGTGTCTCTCATAATCACATGAAATAGTTTGGGGACGTTAAACCCCACTTATCGTCATAATGACGCTCGTAAATTAGTATGTATCTCTGTTTGTCTTGTTCCTTACTATCAGCGAACCTGACTGTTAGCAAATAGTTAGCAAAACGAGGAACGTATACGTTCCTCGTTCACGCCACACCAAGAAACTCCAGGCCTGCGCGGAAGGCGCTGCACAGTCGCAGCGAAAGCACGAAGGGCGCCCTTTCAGAGCCTTTTCTAAACACTATTGCGGTAAATGCTAGAAGCACACATGCAAGGTAACCACTATACACCAAAAATATTCGTAGTTTCTGCATAGTAGGCCAGCATTCAGTATGCTATCCTTCGCCTTTCTTCGGAGAAGCGTGATATCCCCTAAACACTTGTAACATTCATTGGCGGACGACGACGAAGAATCCCGCCAGAAGTGGGTATGTGCCACGGTTAATAGGTGATGAAGAACAAGCTTTTGTAATGTGTTTGGACGACCCACTCGTTACGCGAGTCGCATTGTGTGACACCTAGTTGTTTCTTTGCAGTTATGAACCGCTTTATTACTCATATTAACACGATTCCTTTCCCGACATCAAGCCTGCCTAAGGCAAGTTCGCGAACGAGCCCCACGCTCCGGCGTGACTTAGCAATATAACACTCAGCTGGCACGCAGTAGACCCTGGGTCGAATCTCAATATGTGTCCACATGTCTGGTGTTTTGTATTGAAACTTTGTGCGATAGGAGTTAAGGCACGAACACACTAGCGGCGCCACGCTCTGCCACGCGCCACGCGCCGCTCGCGAGACGCCGCTTTTCTCTCTTTCTCCCGCCGAGCGTCGAGGAATTTCTGCCGCCGACTCAATCGCTCCTTGCGCTATTTCTGCCGCCGCCGCCCAAGCAAAGCACCAATCAGCGACGTGCGTGGTAGTCGCCATAGCAACGCACGGAGCTTTTCTTTTTTTTTTTCGGCTGTCATTTTTCTCACGCCGTCGTTTTTTGAAGCACGCACCTTGGACACCGAACGCTTTTTAGAGGAGATTAGACTCTACCCTTTCTTAAACGACAAAACGATGCCTGATTACAAAGATAGGGAAGCAAAAATGAACAGATGGGATCTTATAGGATCTATGTTTGGATTGACAATTAAGTGGCGATTGCGTGGCTCATTGCATGTTGAGCGTGAATGAATTGTACGTTTTATTCACTCACTTGTGCAGGAACACAGGTCATGCTGAAGTTTAAAAATATTAGAGACAGGTGGATGAAGCTCGTGTCGGGAGTCGAGGCGAACACTCGGAGCAGTGCGCCAGGCAATAATGGCAAAATTAAGTGGCCCCTGTTCTCAATTATTGACAGCATGCTGAGGCAGACACCTCACTATGCGGAAAAGTAAGTGATCAATGACGTGCCGTTTCATATTGCAGCGCACGCAGGATACCTGTTTCATGCCTTCAGTATCTCGGTACCTCCAAAGCGGATGGACCCAATATCTTCGCGGCGCATTTCGAGAGCGGCGACGCTGAAGCAACAGCAGACACGCCATCACGGTAACGTTGAGCGTTGCGCGGAGATCGTCGTCGCCGGCCATTGTTCGCACGATTGCACCGTAAAGTCGGAGAGCTCAGAACCAACGCTTCCTAGTACAGGAGGCGTTGTCAGAACAGACGACGAAAAAGCGCGCGAAATCTCGCGAGCTGCGAGACCACTCGAGACTGTTGTCACGTGACTCCCGCAGATGTGGCCAGCGTGCCGCTTTTCACCGCTCGGCGGCGAAGACGCGCGTCATGCCGCGGCGGCACGCTTACCGCTAGTGTGCTCGTACCCTAAACAGACAACTACGCCGGCGGCGGACAACTTCGGCGCTGCGCGTGACCGGTGTTTTAACACGGGCGTGATCGGTGTTACAGCTTTCGCTGTAGAAACTAGCATCATTATAAATGGGTATGCGCCACAAATATTGAGCTGAATTGTGCTACTCCCCACTGGTCCCCAAGGGGTATGTGCCACAGAAATTTGTGCGGCGTATAAAGAAAATTTTCAATCCCACCACGCACAACTCCCGCTAAAAATGGCAGTGACTTAGCTAAGCTATGCCAGGATATACGTAGCGTTAGCAAATGTTCACCCGATTATCCTTCTTTCTCTATGGCTATACCACAGTGGCAAACGCCAGTCAGAGGCGCTATCAAGCGGCTCCAGCGCAGTGTCAGATGGCGACTGCACAGGGAAGGTGCGCGCGTCGGCCGTCCATATGTCTACCAAGGCTATGACGGCACTCCTCTGGAAAGCGCACACCTGCGGCGGCGGCGAGTCGCGCGCGGCCGCGGCCGAGTGCGAGGGAGTGGCCGGCTCTGGTGCGTGACACCACTGACCGTCTGCGCAGCGCATCGAATTGCACGCACAACGGCGGCGAGCCGCGCGTGGCGGCGGCGGAGTATCATTGCGCATGCGCAGGGCCAGTGCCGCACGAAATTGGCTCAGCGAGGCCAATGTAGCTAACGCTACAAAACAAGGAAGGACTAAGGCCGCGTTCACACTGAGCATACCGGCTGCCGAAAGTGCTCCGAATCCGGTTCGGCGGCGGCGAGATCCGCCGAAAGTTAAAGGGCCCTCTCCGCGCCGATCGCTCTCGGACCGATTTTTGCGGCGTCTGCCGCCGAATCGGTCACCGCGGACCAATAGGAGCGCTAGTCAAGGAATTTTGAAAAATGGTGGCCAAGCCCTACTCACTTGTTATGCTGCAGTGCACGTAACCGAATGTTGAAACCAACGGGAGTTTAACCTACTCTGTGCCTACTTCGACTCCGTATTTCGTGAAAGAGGTGACCGAGCTTGCTGTTGGCGTGCTTGTTGCGGTCTTGCAAAGCAAAACGAACCCACCAACGCCGCTGGCGTCGGTGGTTTTTCTGCTTTTCGTGCATTACAAGACAGCCACTTGCCAGCAAAGTAAGCAGTACTGTCTTTTCTTGCTTCTTGCGTACGAGAATCGTCGAAGTATACACCACCGGATAGCGTAGTAGCGTTTGCGAGCCGCGACAACAACCGGGTGACAGCGCATCCATCCCGCGTTCGCCCCGTAGTAGATCGCATATTCGGCGGCGCGGGGCGCGTCCAGTGCGAACGACGCTGTGTTTCGGCGGCAGGGGAATTTCGGTCGCTGTAGAAAGCGGATGTTTCAGAGTGAACTAGGCATAAGAATTGGGTGCGGGGCGGCGGCGGTGAGCCGCAGAAACAGACGACGCGCACCCGCGCAGCGCAAGCCGTAACTGTACCGTATGCGCCATCTATAGTCTAGAGCTGTATGCGATCTATAGTCATGGCTTGACGCAATACTGGTCGAGACCATTACTGCAACGTAATTCGCCTTATTGAGGTCTGTGTAGCGTGTGTGACTGTCTGTGGCTTGTTTGGAACTTGTCTGCGCTGATAATTGGCTCGGAGACTGTACTTCGGATCACCACGCTAAACCCTTGGAACGACCTATAGCGGTGGGTTAGAAAAAACTTGCATCACCTACCTAAGAATTACAGAGTATAAGCAACCGTATTATTCTTCTGAATCGTTCAGTTTTCCTGTTGCAAGGCCTGCACGGCTTAGTGTAAGCTTCACAATTTTTTTTTTTTTTGAAGTGTTAACGTAGTCGAGAGTTTGATGGAATAAAGACTGGTCAGGTAAAGCCATTGTTGAAAAAAAAAAACAGGTCACTGACCAATACCAATCCCTTTTTCACAACGGACACATTCCCTGTTCGGATCCCTTGTTCACAATGGGAAAGTTTTATTGTGGTCATGCTTCTGCGTTCAGGCGTTTTTTTTTTTCGCAACTTAGTATCTTTTCTCGCGTCTTTTGCTCCTAGCGTGACACACGCGACAAGCGTAGCGATGTTCCACGTAAACTTCGTTACAGCAAGATTCGAGAACGGAGGCGATGAATTTTCAGGCTGTGGGAAAGCCAGCGACATGACGGAGCATGACTTAATCGAATTTGAATATATCCACCCGTGTGTATACGTTCGGGCCTATACATGAAGTCCGAGGTTTAGGGGCAGTGCTAGAAAGTTTGCGTCCAGAATACGGATAAGTAAGAGACGGTTAATTGGTTGCGGGAGCTTCCGTCCTTTTATAGGAACCACTCGCTAAGCGCAGATGCTCACGCAGCCGACGCCATAAGAAAAAGGGGAGAGGAGGCTATTTAAGCGAGGAGGTAACTATAGCGATAGTGGAGATGAAGACCGCGCACACGTGGTTGAGTTGCATCTGTGGGTCGTGCCGATCGGTTGAGAAGAGTACACCACGCATCTGCCAGTTAGACAGGACGAAATACGCAGACAAGAAAGCCCGCACAGGACCAGTGTGGTCTTCGTATTTCGGGCTGCTTATCATGCAGATGTCGCAACAAACTTTCCCACACCGAGGCAACCGTTCACCGCGAAGTTCCTGAATGATAAAAGATATGCCGAAGCTCGATAAGCATTGTTTGTGCGGTAGTTGAAAGGCAAATCTCATGGGAGATGAGGCCGAGCAGGAAAGTAACGTGAAATTCAACGAATTAAAAGCTCTTTGGGATACCTTGTAATGCTACCATGTCACTCAGTGAGAAAAAAAAAAGATGAAGTGAAATAGAAACATGCAGAAATCATTGCGTTAATTGATTGATTGATAAGTCGGGTTTAACTTCCCAAAAATATCGTATGATTATGAGAC